ATAAACCCTTGACCCAGGAGATGGTCCTTCTCTGGGGCAGCGAGGGCTATGCAGGGCATTGTCATTCTCTTTGAGGGTGCACATGGAGTAGTGAGGGTGGAAACAGACATGCACCTGACTGACCAGATCAGCTGAGTCAACCCTAGGAATCAGCAGGGAGGCAAATGTCGCAGCCAGATCTCCTGTACATCCAGGGTTTTGTCTGATAACAGAATCGGAAGTCTCCTATGAACCACAGGATTGTTCCGAGCTCCCTCTCCCAAGACCTCGCTGCATATGGAAGTGTCTTGTCCCTCCTAGCGGATCCCTGCCCCTCCATGATAAGCTGTCTCCAGAAGTGTGCCCAGATTGCATCCCTGTAGCCACACAGCAGCCCAGGTGGCCTTAACTTCCAATCAGGAGTTCTGCCTTCGTCTCTAGTTGGTTTCTGAAAAACCTTCATATCTGAACTCTACAGCTTTTCAATCCAAGTGGCTCAGAGTGCTTCTGTCCTTTCCTCCTTCAAGATTTCGCGAGTCCCATGTGGAAAGTGCAGTTCCAGGCTTTCTAAAGCCCTACAGCTCTGAGTCTCATAGGTTGGGCACCTGTGAGATGTAACAGCAAATCCTAATGAACTTTCTGAAGAAAATTATGACCTGCGCAATATGGTGGAATCTCACTCCCAAGGATGCATATGCCATTCATTTATTCTGAAGTCATAAATCGACCATGGCTATTTAAAATGTCTTCCAGTCCTATAATTCAACCTAAATATTTGCTCAACCATAATTTTTGCACTCAGTAGTACTTATGAAGGTGCTTTAATATGCAGTGCCTGTGCTTTATTTGCTCCTAGAACATTGCTGGCTGGTATTACATAGTCGATGGTTATTAGTACTCAGGTCACAGAAACACTAAGAGAGCATTAACCATGAAGCTGAGCTAAAGTTCTTAGCAGATTCAGTATCTGTTTCAGAGCACTCTTGACATATCAAGCCCCCAGAATTTTTTTTACTTATGCAGTATTTGGAAATCTAAATCTAACACTTTTGTATTGTCAAGTATGCCTACTGTACCCTTTACATCTGAAAGATTAATTTTAATGAATATTTAAGCATGCGTGTTAAGCAGCTGTATTTCAATCTAATTGAAAGTTGTAGCTGGTAATTGTAGTCCTCAGTATCCAGATCTGGCCTGCTTATGGTGCAGGCATACCTCAAGTACCATGGCAACCTGTGTTAAATATTGCAGCATTTACAATCACACACACACCAACTAGAGCTGTAAATGAGCACGGCCTTGCCCCGGGTAGTCCGTGTTTTAAGGAAGAACCTATACCCCAAGGACTTACAAAGTGAGCTTTCTCTTTTTGAGGAGCTTGTCAAGGCAGGTCAGCCTGGGGGCAAAAGCAGTTTGTGCCACAGAAAGACATGGAAAATGTGGGGACGAGAGGCTACAACTAGGGCTGCATGAGACTGAGAATTAGAACCTGCCTAAAACATAGCATGAGTGGAGTTTGGGGGTGTCATAGGATTAAGGCAGCTATTGAGCAAACTTAATTTCTAGCATGCTGACAAAAAGGGAAAAAAACAATCTAGAACCCAGATATCACCCAAAATGAGAATTACAGAGGGATTCAAATAATACTTCTAGGTAGAAGTGTTCTCAATGCTTCTTTTAAACTAGACTTCCACCTCGAGGCCTCCGCACTTCACCAAGCATGCTCTGGGCCAACAAGGCCAGAGACAGCACTGGAAAAAATGCTTTATTATTTAGGTTTTTAAAGCATTTTATTTGTTTTAGAGGAAAGGAACCATGAAGACAAATGTGCTGGACTCTATCACAACCAACATAATTTTTGGTTGCTTTTCAGTTTTTAAGGTTAAATTCCAGTGATTTGCAAGAATCAAAAGCAAGCCTATGCCTGCTCATCTTTAAAATAATATATAATACAAGCATCTATTTGTCTAAATTCACGTATTTATTCCCTTTAGTGTGTTAATTGGTAAATGTACCTGAAGGTAGAGGGGAGATTTTTATTTTTAAAAAATTCAAGATTATAAAAAATAAAGAATATAAGAATTGAGTCTATATCACTTTCTTGAGGAATAATATATTTAGGGTTAAAATTTTATAATAATTAATAAATGCTGCATAAATTTCTCCTGAAAGTGTTTTGCTTAAAAGATTTTACAAGCTTAAAACAAAAACTATGCAGCATGTGAAGTCAATTATTATTACCATTGTACAGAAAAATAAATAAAAGAGGCGATATCCCTTTTTGATCTGAAGACCTAATCCATAGCATCTGGTGTTTAGTCAGACTGCACCAGGGCCTTTTCAATGCTTCCAGCAATGTTCCTAAGCACTGATGCCAAGCCTTGGTTACTTAAATTACCCAGATCTGCCTGAGACCTGGTATGAAACTTTTCAAGGGGGTTTGAATTCTGGGAAATAGAATTTGCCCCAAACAAGAATTCCCACTGCAAAATCTGAATAATAATAGGGGACTACTTACTGTGATAAGACATTATTCCAAGAGCTTTGCTTGGATAATCTTATCAGTAACCTTACTGCACTGCCTGTTATTATTCTGTCCCTTTGTCAACATGAATACTCAGCTCAGCCAGAATCATCATACCAAAAATTTCCTAGTAGTATTACAAAAAAGAAAAATAATATGGAAAGATGTGCTACACAGTGGGGCTGAAGCCTGATCCCCATTCACCTGGTTTCCTAACTCTGTTGTCAGCTTTCTGTCACTGTGACAAAGTACCTGAGATAACAAACTACAGCGAGGAAAGGTTTACAGTTCCAGAGGTTGCAGTCCATGGTTGCTTGGCAGTTGGGCTTGTGGGAAGGCTTCTAGAACATCATGGTGGAAGCATATAGGAGAGAAAGCTGCTCACCTCATGGCTGTGTTCAGAAAACAAAGACAGTGAGGGAGAAAGAAAGGGTTTGGGATCCCAGTATCCTTTTCTAGAGCCCACTGCCCAAAGACCTAACTTCCTTCCAGTAGGTCTTGTCTCCTAAGGTGCCACATATGGGTAATCAAGCCTTTAGCATACAGGCCTTGACCAAGCTTCAGCACTGGACTGCCTTTCTCCATTGAAAAGATACTCTTTCTGCTGGTCCCAGACACAGGACAGAATTTTCCCAACAAAATCAAGTCTCCCTGCAAAAGAAATCTCCTGCTCTTAACAACCCAGTGTTCCACACCCTGTCATATGGGCAAATTTATTCAGACGGAGAGACGGAGAAGAAAAGAAAAGAAGAGGGACTGAGAGAAAACCACGAAATGTTTAGTCCACATATATTGTTCTAAATTTTGTGGAAACACAAGGATAAATCAGGGAGAAAAGCACCTACCAGTTAGTTATTTGCTGTGATGCGATGTTAGCAGCTCGCAAGTGTGGCAAAGTGTTAGAGAAGATAAAAGAGTAATGGAAGTTTGGAGGATGAGCTTGCATGCAGTTGAGAAGAATTGAGAAGGCCTTTCTGGAAGAGGAAGTGCATATCTGGACTTTGAAGGCAGTAGTGAGACCAGACACACAGAAGTCAGCAGGACAGGCCACATGCGGGGAGCAATGGGAACGAAGATAAAGGGGGCCAGGGAGGGAGGAGGGCCACACGTCACCTGTCAGCTCCATCCACGACCTGCATAAGGAAAGGCTGCTCGGAATACAGTTGGGAGACACAGAGTCAGTTTTTAATTTGAGGGCATAATAAGGAATATGAATTTTTTTCTCAATATAATGCATCACAATTAGAAGAACTTTAAATTGCATTAAAACCTTAATTCCTATCTTACATGTTTATTGTTGGTTTTTCAAATTTATTGTTTAACTGATACATTCCATCTCAATTTAATAATGTGTGTAGAAGCAGAAAATGAGCCTGAACATAAGACTGTGTGCTCCAAACAACAAAATAACTGCATCAATTAAATAAATATTATCTTCATCATTACAACTGCTTTTATATATTATCACTATGGTTTTTATCCCCAAATCGCTTTTGGAGTTCTCTTTTCAAGTAGAATTTTTTAATGTATTAGCTCTGCTGTGTGCAGTTTGCTTTTTAAGACAGGTCTGGAATATTTTCTGCATCATTTTACTACTCTTACAATTCTTGATGCAACACACTGTAATAAAGACAGCAGAGATTCGCTGATGTCTCCTAAGATTTCTGAGTCTCCACTTTATCCTGGTACTTCTCTCGCACTAGCAAATAAGAGTTTCTTTATTTTTGACCTATATTTTAAATACTTGGAGATTATTGGGCTTGTAGATATGACATGAAGACCTCATGTTGAGTATTTAAATGGATAGCTCTAAGGTATATGCCTTTCTGTCTCATGTGAACCATGTCTGCAATTTCAGTACAAAATCAGTGTATCTATCTGCATCTCTCTCATGGAAGTCTCTTTCCTAAGCAAATTCAGTTCCTAAAACTGCACAAAGGGATTTGGGGCTCCATTATTTTAATTATGATACAGAGGATAGATACATTAAGCCTTGAGTTCCTGCCTGTGTAACAACTTGATAATGTCAGAGCACTTTGCCCACTCTTATGAGCACTGGTAATTACCAAATCTGAGTGGAATATACAGTGGGGAGAGTATCAAACTTTCTTCAAATAAGACAAAGAGAAGGTAATGTGACCTGTAAGCCTATAAAGTATGAAGAATTTTAAATTATGTTTATAATTTTCAAAATGACAATATACATTTCACGTTTACTATGTAGGTATTTGTAATAAAACAGGCAAGAAAGAATTTCTGTAGCATAGCATTCTTGCAAAGTTGAACAACCGTGTCATCCTCTTATTACACACTGTATTTGCACACGCACAGCTCAAATGTTGTGCAATTACTTCGATGGGGTGTGTAATCTGCCAGCTAGAAAAGCCTCATGAAATTCCTCACATTCCGTTCTTGCTTATTATGTTCATTTAGATGCATTTGTTAATTTATAAGTGCAGTTAATTAAAATCTTTTAAATTTTCTTTTTTTTTTTAAGGAGCCCGCTACATGAAAAAAAAATGCAAGTCAAAGTGGTCACAACCTAGAAGTCTGCAGAGACAGGAATAACTAGCAAGTAGATACTATATTATTTTATTGTGCTTAAGTATATAGAATTCAGTAGTGTTCTGGGTAATTTTACTCTATAATAACCAGTCTTATGAATCTAAATTTATACTTAGCAGTATTTGTTAACCTATGTTACATCACACAAATAATTAGGAAGACAAAATGGCAACTGTAGATTTTAGGAAACTCATTAATAATGAAATTATCTTTTTCAGAAATATGAATTTAAATATTGTAACTTCTCAAATGACTTATTTTAAGAACCTAGTTCAGTACTTTTTATTTCATAAAAAGAGTAAATAAATTACCCTTTATCTGTGACATATTTAAACACTATTTAAATGCATTAACTCTTGTTATAAACCATTAATAGAGATTATGTTATAATCATGCTTTTAAGAAATGAAGTGAGCTTAAATTCACTGTTGAAGGTTATGTGCCAAAATTTCAAGGCCATACTGAAAGGAAATGCACTTTCCATTTATCAGTTTTTCCTAATGTTTTCAAGAAAGAAAATTGGAAGCTTAATGATAACACTATCCAGTGTTTCTATGAATTGATAAAAAAAAATGGGCATAAAAATGTGGGAAGGGTAAATAAGATGATTTGAATGGCAAGAAAAATCTTTGACAAATCTCATTATTTCATATTATAATGGTGAGTTGATTCCTCAAATGTATCTTGAAGATTGTAATAGGATCAAAAAACCTTCAAGCTAAAAGAATTTTATGACTTGCATCACATATTTCTAATATTTCACTGAATAATGAAGTTATGTTTGCAAAAAGAAACTGATATTAAATGTTAACATTACCTATAGACTTACATATATATATATATATATATATATATATATATATATACACACACACACATAACAGTATAATTTTTTCAAGATAAAACTTTGTTCATTTAATTTAATAGTTTTTTCTCATGATTATCATATTTACAAATAATATCAAAATAATGGTCATATTCTAATCAAAAATTTTAGAAATTGTGAATAAATGATTTTATATTTAAAATTCTATAGCATAGTTATAATTCCAATAATCTGGGAAACTGGGGCAGTAGAAATGTAAATTCAGTCTCATTCTGGGCAACTGAGTGACTGAGAATCCAGTCTCTAAACAAAAATAATAATAATAATACAAAGTAAAAGTGGGGGATATAGCTCAGTACAGAGGGCCTGAGTTCAAATTCTAGTGCCACCAAAAAATTCAATAGCAGTAAATTTTTATACTACATAAAATCTGTGTAATTGTGTTTCAAGTGCTTAACTAAAGAATTACATGAGCCAACTGAAATTTCTTCCTTTTTAATGTTCTTTTAAAGTTTAATGAATAACAAATAGGGCATGATTAATACCTCATACGTAAAGTCCATCAAATATTTATACAATTAGAACCACACATAGGAAGAATACTAAGCAGTAACTCAGCGGAAATGAAAAACATTTTTATAATGCAAATGACCAGCCTTCATATACTTGGCTTATAAATTTCAGTTGTTCTTTTAACTTGGACAGTCATACTTACATTATGTGGGGGCAGAAAAGAAAGCACCTTCAGAATTCAAAGGCAGCTCAAATAGGCTGTCTTCATAAAGAAGGAGAGAAACCTGTAGAAACATGTTTAGAAATACCTTGGTAATGGTCGACTTCAGTTTTAGCTGGAAAGAAAATCATGAAGTCTGCATTTGAAAGTAACTTTGAACTTTAAAAAAATGTTGTCAAAGGGAAAAATGTTGGGGTGCAGTGTGAAACGAGATTGTTGGAAGTGAGGCTGGTAGTTGGCTCCCAGGAAATGGGTGCGTGGATAATCCATGTGCGAAACCTCAGAGGTTCAAACCAAAGTGGCGGCAGTAGAAAAAGGAAGACTTGAATTTGAAAAACAAAATCTTTAAGCAGTTTCCTCGGAACCTAGTTTAGATGGATAGTGATCCCAGTGTTTGAGATCTAGAACATTACAAGAAGAGCAGTTAACTTTGAATAATGGCTTAAAATGGTAACTTCAGTTAGAAAGAAGAAACCCATCTGCCTGGAGCATAAGCAAAGTGACAGTGACCACAGGATTGTCAGAAATGCAGACCTGGAGTCCGGAATGGGAAGATCTGGGGGCTTATTGATCTGCGGGAAGATGGTCAAAGCCAGCACGGCTTGATGAGGCAAAAAAACTTACAGAGAATTAGGAGGATCGATAATATTTAATCATTAAAATTTATTTTTAAAAAGGGGGTCACCTCAGAAATTGAGTAGTAATTTGAAATAACCAGGCAAACTGACTTCCAATGCCATTTTTTGTTGTTATTACAAGAAATTAAGGAAGCAACGAGACTGGAGAGGTCAGCAGTGTTAAATGCTGCAAAAAAGTCTAAGGGGAGAATAATTGAAAGATAAAAGGCTTTTGGACATTGCAATTAGTTAGTAATTGGGACACCAATGGAGCCAGACCAGCTTTGAAGGCTAGATAGTTTTATGAATCCTTTTCAGGATACTGATTTTCCTGGCCTTCAATTTTACTTTATCTCCTTTCCTGCTTAAATCCCAGTGGTAGAGCTTTGTTTTTCAGATTGATCTACGGGTAGTTTAATTACTTTTAAATTAGGTTTGCTTATTCTCCTAATATCATTGTTTTAAATATTCTAAGACTTCCTGTAATTTGAATAGCTAATTTAATTTAGTATACATTAGTTAAGGAAATTTATTTTCGTGTAATCTGATCAAATATACATGACCTATTACTCTTCCATTTGCTAATTACATAAATTATTTCCCACATTAGGCTGACAGGCATTCTTAATTGCCTCACAAATAATTCTAGGCAATACTTCGCACATAGTAGGTGTATTTCTAAGAAATTACTGAAGTAATGAATAAATCAGAATATTCCTCCTTGGATAATTCCCACTTCTGTAAAGTACTCCTTTATCATCTGTTTGAAAAAAATACACTCATTATGATCTGACTATTTTTGAATCCTTAAATTAAGAAATAAGATTAAGAGGAAATGAGATTATGAAACACTTTTATCTTGGATTTTTCCAACTGAATCTCATAGTCCTGTTTTTATTTTTCTTGCCCTAGCACTATAAATTTAATTTTTATAATTGTAATCACTGTATAATTGATACCAGATCATTTTGACTTTTCATTTAGAAAGTAATTACTCTTAAATATTTATGTTGCTTCCTTTCTTTTTCTGCCCACAGTAAAAATAGCTTTGTTGTTTTATTTTAGATTATATGAATATGCATGCTCACTGTAACATTTCAAACAGTATATAAAAAATATGACAGAGAGCATAAAGTCACTTGCTAAACCACCCAAATGACAAACACAGTGAACATTTGTATTATATATGGACTACTTTATCGTTTTGCAGTGTTCCTTTTTGTCTCTAATAATGCTTTTTCCTTGAAAATCTACTCTCTGCTTTAGCACAAATATAGGCAGCTTTCTTTTGAGTAACATTTACACAGTCCTACCTTTTTGCATCTTTCCTTCAACATTCTTGTATTTATACTTTCTTACTATAAATCATATAGAAGACTTTTTCCAAATGTAGTCTGATTGCATTGACCTATGCTTGGAATTTGTAGTCTATTTATATTTAATTGCTAGTATGTTAGTTGGGTTTATATTTACCAAATTACTATCTGTTTCTCTTTAATTCATCTTCTTATTTATACTCTTTTTTCTCCATTATTTTTTTCCTTTGGAATTTTTATTGATTAGGTACTTCTTATCATTCCAACTTTTTCTACATTAAATAATTAGATAGACATTTGTCTTATTCCTGCACTAATTATGGACGTGATTTTTACATTCATCCTTGAGTTATGGTCCAACACAGTTACTCTTAGAAATTCCCTGTTATTACTGGATGCATGGAAATCTTTAGGTCAGTCTTTTGGCTTTGCTGCTGGGGTAGATTTTTCTTCAGATATCTCAAGCATCATTCAGTGCATTGCTACTACCGTTTGTCTAGTCCACATCCACCTTCTCTGTTGTCCTCTGGGTCTCCCTATATCTCTGTTTTCTGTGACAATACTTTATGTCTAAAGGATCTCTTTAGTATTTCTTTTACTGCCAATGGGCCAGAAATAAATTTTCTTCATTTTTATTTTCCCAGAAGTATTTTATGTACTTTTGTGAACTTTAAGAGTACTGATTGTAGAATTTCAGTTCTTTTAAAAGGTCATTCCCTTGTTTCCTAGCTTCTTTTGCTTCTGTTGGGAAAAAAGCCATCGATTACTCCTTGGTTACTGTTTATTGTTTGATTGTTTAAATATGTTTGGGATGTTTTGCAATTGGGGTAAAATACTCATAAGATTTACTGTCTTTTTTATTTTTAAGTGTATAGTTTCACAGCATTATTCGGAGGAGCGCTATGTTAACATATCTTACCTCATAAAAATAATTGGGAGGAAACATAGCAATGATGGATTTGGGGAAACTTTTCTGTCAAAACACAAATAATATTTTCTTCAAAAAGGTGAGTTTAAATGGTGTTTCCTCTCTCTCAAGGGCAGTCACATGGCCATGCAGCCCTTTACCCCAATCGCTGCCATATCTTCATCTGGCATCTGCCCTCTCCTCTTCCTTTCCTGTCATTTCTGGGAAACCGCCATTGTAGTTCCTGTTTCTCTGAATGCGTCTGCTCTAGGTCCCTCAGGTAGGTGTAGTCCTAGAATGTTTGCCTTTTGTGACTGCCTTCCAGATTCATCCATACTGTAGTAGGTGTCAAAATTTCCATAGTTTTAATGCCAAACAATATTTCATTGGGTGTATATACTGTATTTTACAGGTTGTTTCTACAACCAAGTGAATAACGGTGAATAATGCTGCTATGAATATGGGTCTACAAATATATCTTCAAATTCTCGCTTTCAGATTTTATATATATACTCAAAAGTGAAAACCTGGACTATGCAATAATTCTATTTTTAGTCTCTCGAATAATTCCGTACTCTTCTCTATTGTGGCTGCAAATTTTACATTCCCAC